TTTGGGTCTACACCTGTCACTGGCCGTTTCTATCTGGAAAGGGCCTGAGAAATGCAGTTTCTAAGTTGCCCCGACAACCTGCAAAAGAGGACGGCTTCAGGAGGGCTGCTCTGTCTTTACGCCGTCCTGCAGGAGGGGCCTCAGAGACCCTGGCCGTGGCGGTCAGACCGCAGACGCTGCTCGCTGATGCCTGCAAGGCCACCGCGGCTCTCGCGCTCTCGGCAGCCTCGTGCTGTCCCTGAAGGCACAGGGACCATCCTCGCACCCTGTGTCCGGGTCCTCTGTCCCTGGTCCACGCAGGAGGGAGGCACGAGGCTCCGGGCAGCACCATCGCTCACAGAGGCCGGGCTCGGTGGACAGCCTGGCCGGGACCCTGGACCTCCCTGGAGAGAAGCCACCAGGGAGGTGGCTGTGGCTGCCCAGGCGACTGACATAGAGGGTCCCCTCCCCCAGCTGGGCCCTCGAGTGAGAGCCGGGAATCTCGGCTGGGTGCCCCCCGCCTCCCGCCAGCTCTCTCCATGGGTACCAGGCTCCGCGTCCCCAAGGGCAGCAGAGAGGACCTCAGACCTGGCTCCGAGCCCAGGCTGCTTCCCACAGAGCCAATGGCTCCTGTTTGGCGTGTTTAGTGCTTCACTCCTGCAGCCCCCCTAGAGGTAGGCTGGCAAGTGAGAGGCGCAGCCCACGGGGGTCCTAGAAAGCCTTTTAACGAGGCTGACACAGGAGTCTCAACCTTTTGTCCACCACTTCCTTCCTGCCTCCTATTTAATCCAGAGGTGATGGCTGGAGCTCCAGCAACCTTCTTGGAATTCTCAGACAAGCTGGAGGAAGGCTGAGAGAGCAGGGGGTGGATGGACTGTCTGCCTGTTGACCCTGCCCTCAGCGTCTCCCTGCCTGTCTGAGAACAGCACGGGAAGGGGACAGAATCCTTTTTCAGTATGGGAGATAATAAGTCGGAGTCCTCCGGGGGCCACTGCTGTTTCATAAAGTTTCCTTGTGTCCAGCTGAATGGATAGAAACCTGTGCGTCCTTCTCACGCTCCGTGAACCGTCGACTGTGCAAGGAGAAGAGCCGAAATGATATGTTCTCTGCCATAGTTTAAAAATTCCTATGAAGTTTTAAAAGCGCAGGGTGGAGAGGGGCCACAGGCTGGCTTTACAGGGTCATCCATCCTGAAAGCCAAAGAGCAGCAGAGAACCTCGTGGAGCAGACGGGCGACCCCGCTGGGCGATCCCGTCCCCGGCTGGGCCATCACGCGGCGGTAACAGCTATGTTTTCTGAGTCAGAAGGAATCCTCGGCCACCAGCACCCCACCCACTCCTGCTTCCTGGGGCCCAACTTCCTTCTGATCTGTGGTCGGGCCTGCAGGGCCCTGTCCCTGCCCCTGTCCCACCCTAGACAGGCTGCCTGCCCCGCCCACAGGCAGGGGAGTCCCTGCTGGCTCCAGCACCTCTTGCAGGGACCCCCACCGCACCCACCATCAGCACCCCCTGCACCCCACCCTCAGGCCGCCTGGAAGCCCCAGCTCTCCGAGGGGACACGGCACAGAAGCTTCTGGAAGGGCCTGAGCTACCTCTGGCGGAGCCCGGCGGGCCAGGCGTGAGGATCTGGCTTCTGGCCCCTGAGTGGTCCCCAGGGTGGGGTGGACGAGGAAGGCCACAGCCGGGCCCTGACTTGGTTTGTCTTCTTCATACCTTTCAGTCTGTCTCCCCGTGACCAGTAACCAGACCGGACGGCCAAGCCAAGCGGATGCTGCTGGGGACAGGAGCACAGTCCCGCCCTGCCCCGCCCCTGGGCAGGCCCCAGGCCAGACATCCAGTCTGCACTGGTCACCCTGGAGCCCTCCACGGAGAGGGTGCCAGGGGACCCCGCCCCAGAGCATCTCCAAGGAGCTATGGCCCTGGCCCAGGCCAGTCAGCTGGCCTCCTTGCTGGCCTCCAAGGTGGGAGGCTGGGGGAACACCCACGTCCCCAGTGCAGGGTATGGCTGCCCACCCGTCCCCTGCCCCACTCTGGACTCCCCCATTACCTGGCCCTGCCCCCCAAACTAATTCCCCCTTGACCTGGCTCCGCCAAACCCCATGAAACCCAGACCCTCACCAAGGCCCCCGGGATGTGCCCCACAATGTGCCCCTCGATGTGCCCCGCAAGGTGCCCCATGGTGCTGAACAGAGCCCCGCTGCCCAGGATGCGTCCCTCCCCCGTCTCCTGTTCCTCCTGTATTCCCTTCCACAGGCACCAGCATGGGGTTGAGCTGGACGCACGGGGAGTTGTTCTTTGAACTCTGATGTTGACCACAGTGACAATGACAATCCCCAGGCCACAATGACATCGGGGACCCAGGCTGCCCTGGCGAGGACCAGGAGCATTTCCCACTTACCTAAAAATATCCATTCCCAGCCAGGCCTTGTGGCACACACCTGTAACAGCGGCTTGGGAGGCTGAGGCAGGAGGACCAGATTCAGGGCCAGCCTCAGCAACTAACGAGGCCCTAAGCAGCTCAGAGAAACCCTGTCTCTAAATAATATAGATAGACAGACAGGCTGGGGCAGGGGTCAGTGTTAATGCCCTGTCCAATCCCTGCTCCCCCACCTTAAAAAAACGTCTAGATATCTGCCCTGAGAGCAGAGGTCACGCCTGGCCAGGAGGCCACCAGAGAGTCTCAGCCCAGAATCTCTCCTTGGTGGATGCCCACAGGTAGGCGTGCCCAGGTAGCCCCGGTGTCTGGATGCTTCTCTGAGTGAGTGGACGTGGCTCTGAGGGTCATGGAGCCCTCTGGCCCCTTCACAGGAGCACAGGAGCCTGGGGCCATCTTCACACTCAGGCCACTGTGAGGACATGGGGTGGGACAGCAGAAGCCCCTGGGCTGGAGGCACAAAGAGCCCAGGCCCCGGTGGAGAGCCGCTGGCCGGGGCAGGCAGAGGGCTCTGTGCCCACCCCCAGGCCCTTCCCAGTGGCCCTGAACGGTGGTGGGCATTTCCTTCTAAAACACAGGCTCCACTTCTTCCCCTCCCTGTCCTGCCTGCAGCCACACTTGGAGTGACTTTGGATCCCTCCCGAGCCCCAGGCCACCTCGTGAGCACCCGTGTGCCCTGTGTCCGCGGCATAGCAAGTGGCGCTGCCTGCTCACGGGAGTGGGAATGTCGGTTACCCCAGGCTAGATCCTGCTGGGTCAGAGGAGGCCCTGCACAGTCCCCATCACTGCCAGCCACCTGAAGCCCTGGCCCAGCCCCACTCACAGGGCTCCAAGACGCACGGGGGACTCAGAGACGCACCTTCCCACACCTTCTGTGGAAGCACCTCAGGTCCCACACCTTCCCTGGAAGCGCCTCAGGTCCAGGGTGGACCAATCACCAGGACAGACCGACAGACAGACAGGGCCTCCCTGCTGGCCCAGTCCTCAGCCTTGGACGGGCCCTGCCGGCCTGGGCACCGCAGGGCCATTCTTTTCCACGGCTGGGAGCTCAGGCCAGCCCAGGGCCCGAGGCCAGCTCAGCCAGGGCAGCAGGGTTGGGCCATCAGCCTCAGAGCTGCCCTCCAGGGCTCTTGCCAAGCACAGCCTCAGGGTGTGGCAGGGCCTGTGACCCGAGCTGGGACCCCACCCAGCCTTATCTGCCCTCAGAAAACCACCAGGGCCACCAAACAGAACCCAGGGCTGCTGTGTCCCAGGGCTGTGTGCCCCAGGGATGCGTGTCCCAGGGTTGTCATGCCCCAGGGCTGAGCGTGACCCAGGGCTGCCCATGCAAAGCCAAGCCCACACCAGGGAAGCCTCCCTCCTGGACCGCAGTCCTCTGACTTGAGGCCCACCTCACCTCCCACCCACGTGTCACCTGTCCAGCTTCGAGGTTCCGGCCTTGCTGACCCTCCTGCCCCACCCCTCAGTACGTGTGACCCGCAGACAGCCGGTGGCCAGGACGCGGGCGCAGCCTGAGGGCTCGTTCATCACTGTTGCTCAGCCACATCCTCAAGGGGGGCCTAGAAGTCACCAGCTCCGGCCACAGAAGGCGACGTCCGCACCTCCACCACCAGACCCCGAGCTGGTGCCTTGCAGTGGGAGCCCGGGGGGCGGCAGCCCTGAGAGCCCCAGGCCCCCAGCAGCCGTAGCAGCAGTGTCAACCAGGACCCAGCAGCTGAGCCCTAGAAGCACCCCCAGGTTCAGAAAGTCGCTGCTGAGTCATTGTCAACCCAGGAAGCTGCCACTCAGAGCCAGAGGTGACTCTGAAAAAGCTGCCTGTCATGCTTGCTGGCCCGGGGCTGCCTCTTAGGCAAATTCGAAAAGTGTTTATCACAAGGTATTTATGACATTTCCACAGTCCCAGTTACTGTAACAGGGTGACATTAAAAGAAGGCTTCCTGGTGTCACTTGGCAGTAAAACCAGCCAAATAGGGGCTGCTCGCTGTCGGGCCACTCAGCCCCCAGCCCTCCTGGACCCTCGTCCACCCCCGGCCCTGGCCCCACAGCTTCTTTCCTTCCTGATTTTACCACTTTGTGACTCTCAGCATCCAAGGGAAGGAAAGGACATAAAATAAGCCCCTGGACTCATTCATCAGGTCCAGGGAAGGAAGAACAGCCTCCACCCTCTTCCTGTGGACACTGCACCGTAGCCGGGCAGCTCTGCCTGGGCTGCGGGGACCAGAGGCCACAATTTGCTCCAGGGCTCCTTCCTCCAAGCCTTAGAGAAGCGGAAGCCAACGGCCCAGCTCCTGGGCTTGCACAAAATCCAGACACCTCCACCTCGGAACCTCTGTGCCCTGGGGGCAGCCTGACCGCTCCTGTCCAGCCAAGCACCTCCTCTCCAGTCTCCCTCCAAGACAGCAAGATGCTATCACAGTGAGCCACCAAACAGCTCCTCCAAGAGCCCAGCCCAAACCCAGCAGCCCCGGGCCGGGCGGGGGGCAGAGAGCCACTTCTCCAGACGCACAGAGCCTCAACGTCTCCCAAAACCCACGTCCACTCCAGGACGCACCATGAGCCATGAGGATAAATGACAGGCACATACTCACCAGGGAGAAGCTGAGGGCTGTTCCTTCCCGGGGACCAAAGTCATGCTCAGGCCCGGCCTGCCCGCACGGAGCGCCGCTTTAAAACTGACCGAGCGAGCGGTACAGTCACCACCGGCTCCCTCCATTCCCAGTGATGTCCACGCAATCAAGACCAAAAAAAAAAAAGGCGCACACCTCGGCCCTCATTCTCATTGGGACGATGACTCATGCTGACTCTCAGCCGCCACTTCCTCCCTTTGCATTCTCTTCATACTTGTGAGCTGGGCTGGTCCAGTTCCCAGGGTCTCTGCCGCCCTTCCGGAAAAAGCAGCCTTCCTGACCCAGGCAGAGAGGTCCCAGGGCTGCTCCCACGGTCCTAAGCCCCGGGTTCGCCTACCCTGGGAAATGCTTTATTCAGGCGACTTGGGAACCACCGAGGAATGCGATGCATGATCGTCCGTGCATTTGAATGTCAAGTACATGCTGAAGTTGTGCAGGGCGCTGCGAGAAAGTTCCGGGGAAGGGAAAAGAATGAGAAATGGGCTCGTGACTCTTTAAGGTGCTGGGGTTTGCTGTGCCCTGCGAACACCCATTTCCGGGCTGCTTTCTTCCCCGTCCCCTGATATCACAAGTCCCAGCGTCCGACACCAGCACCTCTGCAGAGCTGCTGACCAGGGCTGCTGTGCGGCGGGTCCTCGGCTCTGGAGACCTGTCTCTTGTCTGCATCCGACAGATTTCAAGACTGAGCTGGACTAGCTCAGCCCAGTCCCCCAGGTGAGACGCTCTGGCTTGGCACTCGGGCTTCTGAAACGGTTGACACGTGTTTCTGTGCAGGCGCGGAGGTGGCCGCCTGCCTCCAGTTCTCTTTTGAATGATGCGGAGGGCGGGGCAGTCTCCCCACTGGGCATTTTTTGAATTATGAAAAGCAGAGGGGAGGGCAGACTCTATGTGTCACCCAGCAGGTCTGCGGAGCCTCCCAGGGCAGAGCCATGTCTGTGTGGCCAACTGGGCCTGGAGGGCCCCCACCCCCGCCCCACAGAGAGCGGGACGGATCTCAGGGGGAGTCCTGCTTCCCTCTTCTCTATCTCAGACCTTTCACCAGCAAAATCAGGGCATCTTCCCGTTGGGCAAATACCAAGTGTTTGCTTTCCCTATAAAAGTCAGCCACTTGGTCAAACCTGAGTCCCTTGCAGTTTCGTTTTGGGGTTATTTTTTTCCCAGGAAGGCGCAAAGCCTGCTGCTTTGCTGGAGTTTAGGGACATCTTTGTCTGCAGTGTGTTTTGGATTTTTTTTTTTTAATTGTTTGTCATGGTTCTGGGACTGAACCCAGGGGGCTTAACCGCTGACCTGCAACCCCAGGTTTTTTATTTGTTATTTTGAGACAGGGTCTCCCTAAGTTTCTTAGGGCCTCACTCGAAGTTGCTGAGGCTGGCTCTGAACCTGAGATCCTCCTGCCTCAGGCTCCAGAGCCGCTGGGATGACAGGTGTGCCCCACGGTGCCCGGCTGCAGTGTGTATTGTTTGGGGCCAGAGGCAGCGTCTCACCTCTGTCCTCCACGGGGACAGATCTCGGGCGGCGGAAGTGCCGTGACCCCCAGAAATCTTCATGCCGTCCTGTCTGTCCTGTGCGGGGAAGGCCAGCCTGGACCTTGTGCATGACGTCGCTCCTTGGCCAACGCACGAGTCCCTGTGAGAACAGAAATAAACAAACAAACAAATATGAAAAGCCACAGCAGGAAGGAATGCAAGAAACCCAAGTCATTGAGAACACGGCCATGCCCCCTTTGCTGCTCGGGAGTGGTCCCTCCACAGCCATGTGTTACCGTGGGGCTTCCGGAAGGTTCCAGGGCAGGGCCTGAGCCTCAGACCCAGGCTTTCTCCCCAGGGAATCTGGTGCTGAGGAGGAAGGGGTGGGGCCGGATGGCTGGAGGGGAGCAGTCGGCTCTGACAAGGGAGCTTGCAGGTGGATTCTCCTCCAAAACCTCCAGGAGCCAGCCCCGGCCTCCACACCTCCACTCTGGTCTGCGAGACCCTGAGCCGACAGCCTGGTTTCTGACGAATGGAACCGAGCGCCTGCAGATGAAGGCGGTCTAAGTCACTGTGTCACACAGCATGAGAAGGACACACACTCGGCTGGTCACAGTGGCACACACCTGTCATCCCAGCAGTGAGAGAGGCTGAGGCAGGAGGATCTTGAGTTCCAGGCCAGCCTCAGCCACTTCATGAGGCTCTAAGCCACTCAGGGAGCCCCGGCCTCTAAATAAAAATATAAAACGGGGTGGGATGTGGCTCAGTGGTTCAGTGCCCAAGATTCACGGCTTTCACAGCATGAAAGGAATTCACTCCTGCTGTGGCCACAGACGGGCTGTGGAACCCTTCATGGGAGCCGCGGGTTCAGTGTGTAACAGAAGCCTCTGGCCAAGGGCCTGAGAGGAAGTGCCCCCCCTGCCCACCCAGCCTCCCCAGTGAGGCCGCCTCCTCTGCGTTCCTCAAAGGATGTGCCCACCCCCGCCCCGCCCCCCTCCCCATCTCGGCCACCAGCTCTGAGTGGGCCCCCCACTTGGGTGAGGACACACGGCCTCGGATCTGAGGACCCACTCCAGCTGTCCCGTCCGCAGGGCGGCCTGGGTCCAGGCAGGATTTAAGGGTCAGTTCCATCCTGGAGTCCCACCGCCCACGGCTGGAACCTGGCTCCCAGCCCAGTGGCCTGGAGGAAGTGCCTGAGCCTGGGCTGCCCAGGCAGAGGTAGACGAGGGCCTGGTCATGGGGGTCCCCAGCACAGCACACGGGGGCGGGTGGACAAGCTGGGGAGGGGGCTGGGCCCGCAGGCCACGCCCGACACTGTGGTCATCTTGTCTCTTGTCCAGGAACAGGGCACGTGGCCACCTGCCATCCGACAGGGTTCTCAGTTAAGAAAGGGGAGGCGGGATGCCAGGCAGAACAGGCAGCTCCTCAGGCCCACGGCCAGGCCTGGCCACCTGTGACC